GTCGAATGCTTTTTCTATGTCTAGAAGAGCAACTCCAGTTGAGTGGCCTTCAGATTTGTTTGAACGAATTAAATTGTTAACTCTTAAGAGTTGATGAGTAGTTGAATGCCCATGGCGAAATCCAAACTGCTCATCTGCAAAAATTGAGTTCGTATTGATGTGAAGCATCATTCTATTCAAAATTATCTTTTCAAAAAGTTTACTTATTGAAGAAAGCAAACTTATTGGACGGTAGCTAGAAGCTTCAGCTGGATTTTTATCCGGCTTCAAAATTGGAACAACTTTTGCATTTTTCCATTTATCAGGAAAGTATGCCAAATGGAAACATCTGTTAAATAATTTTACCAGGAAAGACAAGGTACTCTCTGGGAGTTTTTTGATGAGGATATAGAAAATTCCATCATCACCTGGAGCTTTCATATTTTGAAACTTTTTAGTTATAGACCTTACTTCGTCCAAATCAGTCCCCCAGGAATCATCAAAAATATTTTCCCGAGAGAAAATATTCAGAAAATCCCGAGCAACCTGATTCTCAATAGGACTAGTAAGACCCAAACTGAAATTATGGGAACTCTCGAATTGCTTACCAAGTTTCTGAGCTTTTTCCAAATTTGTGATCAAAATTTTACCACCTTCTTTAAGCGCTGGAATAGGCTTTTGAGGTTTTTTCAAAATTTTTGTGAGTTTCCAAAAGGGTTTGGAACTCGGGTCTAATTTAGAAATATTATTTTCAAAAGTTTTGTTCCTCAGGGCAGAGAATCGCTTTTTAATTTGTTTTTGCAAATCCCGCCAGATAACTTTCATGGCAGGATCGCGTGTTCTTTGATATTGTCTCCTACGGACATTTTTAAGACGGATCAAGAGCTGAAGATCATCGTCTATTATAATTGAATCGAATTTAACCTCGCATTTTGGTACTGAGGCAGCTCTTGCTTCAACTATAGAAGTAGTCAGAGATTCAAGAGCATAATTAATTTCATCTTTGGTTTGCAAAGGAATGTTTGGATCGAAGTTATATTCCATAAATGTTCGATACTGCTCCCAATCACCTCTATGGTAATTGAAAGTAGAGCTGTTGGGATTACAAATTATTTCTTGGGATATTTCAAAAGTTACTGGAAGGTGATCAGAACCGAAGTCAGCATGGGTAACCAATTGGCTACAAAGTTGACATGAATCAGTTAAGACCAAATCAATAGTGGAGGGATTTCTTGCAGAAGAAAAGCATGTTGGGCTGTTTGGATATTGAATAGTGTAATAACCTGCAGAACAATCATCAAACAGAATATTACCATTGGAATTGCTTTGAGCATTATTCCATGAGCGGTGTTTTGCATTAAAATCACCAATAATGAAGAATTTAGACCTATGACGGGTAAGTTTCTGGAGGTCACCCTTGAGAAAATTCTTTTGCTGGCCTACGCATTGGAATGGCAAATAGGCAGCTATAAACGTAAGTTGTCCAAATTTTGTTTCAACAGAAACTCCCAAAGTTTCAAAAACTTTGGTTTCAAATGAAGCAAGAATTTTATGTTTGATTCGTCTATGAATAATGATGGCAACGCCACCACAGGGTCCATCAAGACGATCATTTCTATAAATCAAGTAATTTACGTCCTTCTTAACCTTATGGGCAGGTTTAAGGAACGTTTCAGTTATAACGGCAATATGCACGTTATGAACTCTCAAAAAATTAAATAGCTCGTCTTCATTATCTTTAAGAGATCGAGCATTCCAATTAACAATATTTAATGCTTTAAAATCCATTACTGAATTTTAAAGTCATGACAATATTATTAGCAAATTTTACTCCAGTTTGAATAGCATCAAACATGGAGTTAGATTTAAGCATATCAGAAATCATGTCAATTAATGAATTCTGTAAAAATTCCATTTTGGGGGCAGTAATGCTTCCTAAGTCAAAATTGTCAAAATTTCCGTTAGAACGTTGGTTAGTATTTTGATTTCTACCCGCTGCAATAGCAGCATAGGTAGCTCCATTAACTCGCTGAACATTGTTAGCAGCGAGGGGAGTAGGTACAGATGAAACATTTGAAGCAGGGGAGATATTTGTACCTACGGGTACGAATGTAGAATTTGTTCCTCGCTGACCGTTGTTAACTGCAGAGGAATTTGTACCTGGTCGGAAACGTGGAGCGTTTCCTACCTGACGGTTAGAACGAGATTGTAGGATCGCTTTGCGAGTCTTACATTCCCAAAAATTGGATTTGTGGTTTTCACCACAATTTGAACATTTAAATTTCTTAGGATCTTCCTTCACAGGACAGTCGTCCTTTGCGTGAGAGGAATCACCACAATTCATGCATTTAGCTGGCATGTAGCAATTTTTAGTTCCGTGACCCCATCCCTGGCACTTACGGCACTGGGTGAGGTTTTGGAAATTTCTTCCAGTCTTCCTGAAGTGTTCCCACTTCACTCGGACATGGAGCATAAGGCTAGCTTTTTCTAAGGCCTTAAGGTTGTTTAGTTCACTAGACTTGAAGTGAACTAAATAAAAATCATTAGAAATCCCGTTGCGCGAATCGCCAGGACGGGATTTCATTTTCATTTTGATTACTTGTAGTGGCACAACTCCAAGTAATTTTGCCAGTTCATCTTTGATCTGATCCAGGGATTCACCACTGGGCAGTCCTTTCATGACAACCTTGAACACACGTTCAGTTTTGGTGTCGTAAGTAAAAAATTTGTGCTTCTTCTCAGTAAGATACTTGAGAAGACATTTAAATCCGTCCAAGGTTTCAGCCAATACACGGCATTCACCCCGACGTCCAATTTGTAGTGAAAACTTAACTTTCACGAAATTCAAAAGTTCCATGCGAAGAGCATGGAAATCGGTAGTGGTTATCACAATAGGGGGAATCTTTTCCTTCTTGGCATTAAGCCGGGAAAGTTTACTAGAATTTTTCTTGGATGATGGATCATTCTCATCATCCGTGAGCAAATCAAATTGATTACTCAAATTAATTTCATCAGAAGGGGGGTCAAGAGTTTGCCCCTTTCTTTTGCGTTTAGGCGCCATGGCGGCAGTAAATTTTTATCCAAATCGACTTCCAAGCAGATTACTATAAGAATCTGAAGGATCGAAGAGGAATTTTCCAAATCGATATCCAAGAAGGATTACCTCGGGTAGGGTCCAAACAAGGATCGAAGAGGAATAAGAGTTGAACAAGGTAGAAAATTTTTACAGGTTGAGCACTGAAAAGTGCTGTTTAAATTTGTTGTAGCTTTAGGTAGTAGTAACACTTCCTTCAGCAAAAAGCAAATAGATCCGCACGGCAAGAGAGCACGATGCGGACTGAAAACAACAACCGATAATATTTAGCTATGACCTGCTTGGCTCGACAACCGAACGCGTGAATCAGGTGAAAGACTTGGGTGTGAAGCAATACATTGCATAAGTTGTTGATAAGGCGTCAAGAACTTTAGGGTTCATTTTTAGGATAGCTTAAATCTTCACTGATATCTACTGTCTAAAATCTCTCTATTGTTCGCTTGTTAGATCGACGCTTGAGTATTGTTCAGCGATTTGAAACCCAAACTACAGCGGTGCCGAGAGAATTGAATCTGTTCAACGTCGCTTTCTTCGTTTTGCGTTGTGGAGATTGCCTTAGAATGATCCGTTTCGATTACCCAGTTACGAAAGCCGTTGTCAACTTATCGACCTAGAACTTCTCCGGACTAGAAGAGAGCCCTAACCGTGGCCGATATCCTGCAAGGAAGGACATATTGCGAGGCTATCCTGAGGCAAATTGACCTGAATGTTCAACCCCGACCGCTTCGTAATAATCTTATGCTAAGACCTCGGCTAAGACTGCCTCTACGTCGTACAAATTATGGAGCACACGGTGTGATTTGTGGGCTGCAGAGAACATTCAACAGAGTTGCATCTGTTTTCGGCTTTCATCTCTCCCGTGATGCGCTTCGTCGAAAGTTTTCTTCTGTTTTCCGGGAGTAACTGACTATAAGATATATGTTTTTATGTTATGACCATGCTTGAATGTATTTTTTTACCATCCAGCCTGTTGATGTAAAACAACAATAAAAACAAAACAATACCGCGGCTGTTCTAGCAAGCCAGATGATACATGTACTTCAATCGGAGATGATGATAGACGTTACCAAGACGTACTTTTGGACTGATTCAAAGATCTTTTTGAGTTGCTTGCAGACTGGTCATAAACTGACGGCGCACGTTGGTGCTCGCGTGATGCAGATAAAGGAAAATGGTCACGGAGTAGATTTGTGGCGCTGGGTCCGATCGCAGCAGAACGTGGCGGATTTGGCTGTGAAATGTTCAAAGATTGGCAGTATGCAGCAATGGCTTCGAGATCCAGACTTTCTTTATCGTGATAGTGCCCAATGGCCGAATGAAGAACCACTGAAGATGTCTTGTACTGATGGTGGTGAATTTCCATTTCGAACTTGTCAGCGATGTTGTCGCTGATCCGTTGTGCTGCGCATGCTTTGTGTAAGGTAATGAACACAGTAAACAATAGACCGTTGACACACGTTCAGGATGACCCACTGGACCCTGAACCGACAACACCAAACATTTTACTGCTAGGACGTAACAACAAAATCCAGTATGACCACGATTTCGACGAACGAAACCTGAACTGTCGTGCTGCCTAGAAGCATTCTAAGATCTATGTGAGGTGAAACATTTGAAAATTGAATAAAACTTTCACACGAAAACAAAAACCACTACCGGAAAGGGGAAAATTTACCCTACCCGATTATGTTGTTGGTTTGCGTGGGCGTACTTCGGTTCGCGTTTAAAAGGTCTTACAACTTTTGTTTACAAAAGCCTTTGCGCCGTTTTCAAATGTTACACGAGAAATGATGAGCTTCGACATGACGTCACACCCACCCACTCACCACCACTGGGGAAAACACGTTGGCTCCACCCCTTAAATGCCATTGTAGCCTTACTCCCTCACTAACACCTTCACGCTTAGCACAGTGGCTTCGCCGTGTAAACAAATTATCGATTTTCGCATCCACCCACCAGTCAAAGGCGCACTGTAAACAAAACACACCGATTGTAGCTACCCATCTTTCCCAGTAGACCAGTGAATCGATCGTTTGCGGTTTTTACGAGAAAAGTCCAACCTTTGCGATGGAAGCAACCACCGTCGCCACTTTGCTGGAGATGTAAGTAATCTCTGTCATATCAATCGGCAGTCGATGGGACGATTCAAGTTTTTTTTTTCTCGCAGACCAAGCAACAACCCCATCTCGTACTGTCGACTGTGTCTGTCCAGTTCGCTGGTGGAACCCCTCTTTCCTGGGGATCCGAAACAGAGCTTGATCGATCTGATAGCTAAGAATGTCCAGGTCACGTTAATGGTCGAGGAGGATCTGCCCTGTGCCGTATGTCAGAATTGTCGCCTGAAGCTGGAGGATTTCGAACGATTCCGTGATCAATGCCAGAAGTTGGACAGCTTTGTCCGTACCAGACGACGGGAGTTGGCACTATTGCAGGAAGCAGTCGTCGGGCCGCAGCTTGAAGATGACGGTGCCATGGGATTGGGGGACGTATCCGAAGAAATTGCCATCAAAGCCGATCCGGAAGCATTGCTTGGAGACGAGGACAGCTTACCGTACGTACTGACTGACGATAGCTGGCACCGGTGTAAGTTCTGCTCGGAAGCATTCCAGAGTTTGTCCGTACTGGTGGAGCACTTCCGGATGCGTCATCCGGATGAATCAAAAATGTACAAATGTCCCCACTGTTCGCGTGCGTACGCGGCTATAGAAGCCAGTGAGACTGTGTGTCCGACGTTTAAATGTGACGAATGCGATGCCGGTTTCGGTCACCGGATTGGATTGTCCCGACACAAGGACCGCTATCACAATAAGGCTTCTCCGAACTATTCCATCCAGCGATTCAAGTGCGATCACTGTCCGAACGTATTCGTCGATGTGAAGCAGCGTTCCCGGCATCAACTGCAGGAGCACATGAGTGCTCCGAAAAGTAGCAAGAGCTCATCGCAGGTCGATGGGATTCACGTGTGCGAGAAGTGCGCGGTCACGTTTTCGCCGTACCAGGCGCTGCTGGTTCACATCCAGGAGTACCACTGGAATGATCCACCGCAGGAGACGTTCAACTGTTCGGTTTGTACGAAGCCCTTCGACAAACGGCGACTGCTGCAGTATCACATTCTGGTGGCACACCTGGGACAGATTCCCTATGCTTGCAACCACTGCGGAGAATGGTTTCGGACCAAGTCACAGCTGAAACAGCACAAGGCCATGTTCCACGAGCGGAATCTATTCGATGCTAATCGGTGCGAATTTTGCGGTCAGACCTGCGTCGAGGAAGAACCGCAGCAGGAGGTACAGGCTATGCAATAAGAGTGTGCTGGGGTTGGTGGCTTTTTCTTGATGTGTGTTGAATAAAGATGTGAAATGTGTCGTGAATTTTATGGATCTGAGAAAGCTGCTGCGATGGTTCAATCATGAAAGAACAGCCTTCTTTGAACAATTTCAACTGTTAGTGCGACTGATTAAGAGCGAGGTATTTTGTATTGTTGTACCTCTTGAATACAAAATACCACTTGATTGGTTAAGTCATCAAAATATGAAACAAAGATTTGTTTTTGAACATTTTACGCTTCCCTTTAGTCTTGAATTCTCGCTATAATTCTTAAATGTTAAATAATAATCACTTAGCTTTCCTTACATTGTTTCCTATAGCTTTGAAAAGACTGCTTCTCTCCATCACCCCTCGAAATAGCATACCTCATATTCTCCCACTACTTCCACTTTCACACTGGCCGGTTTGGCAGTGGGCATTAATCTAAAACGCAGACCAAAACTTATGCTCAAGAACTTTACAACGAAAATTTACAAACCCGTACACTTACCCTCCCTCTGGCTGATGGGGCTTCCGAAACGATTCCGGTGCAAAATGATCGGAGCACATCTTTCTGGTACGCAGAGCCATATGGCCTGAGCTGGCGAGCATTTTTTCCAGTTTTTGCGACTTGCAGAATCGGACCCATGCTATGCAGCTAAAATGTTCAAGTTTGTCGTTTTATTATCTACCTTCGAGTGATGGGAAAACATCATCGGACACTTACGTTTCTCTGTCTCTTGGAAAGCTGTAGAACGATTTCGATATGTTTTTCGACACGTTATTCATGCAATCGTGTACCTCGCATTTACGACCCATGTTCTTTCATTTATCAATCTTTCATTCGCCAGGATTTGAATAAATAAATTTCAATAAACTATAATTATTGCAATTTATTTTTGCAAAATCAATTCCGACAACAACCGTCACAAACTAATACCTCTGTCTGTTTTGTTATTGTTTACGACTGTACTTTAAAATTGCCTTGATTATTAGGTTTTGCACCGTCGGGGTTAACCTCAATCTGATGACAGTTCAGTGGTACTGTTTACGTGGACTTAGTCGATTTTTTCTTGGGTGGATTTTCTCGATAATTTTTCAGACTGCAGTGAGATGTAAACCACATTTCTAGATAGAGCTGGAATTAGGGCGTAACAGCTTTTGTAAACAATGACTTCTCTCGATGATTTCTCGGAAGTCATGGCTCTCCATGGCAAATCGACATCACCATCGAGTAGAGGAAGACTTCTCCTACCCGTGGATATGTTGGTTTGTGTAGGCGTGCTTTGAATTCCGAGAAATCAACAAGAGAAGTAATTGTTTACAAAGGCTGTTACGCCCTAATTCCAGCTCTATCTAGATTTCTGCAATGTTCACGAGCAACATCCTTGCAATGCGCTGTTCCTCGACAATTTTCAAGTTAAAATTCGGAAATTTTAGATTTTTTTTTTCGAAAAAACGACTAAGTGCTTGTAAACAGTACCACTGAACTGTCAAAAAGGTTCAGCCGATTAACACTGAGTTCATTCGTGACGTCACGGTGCAGAACCTAATTCTCTGTACAAAATGGGTACACGCTAAAGAAGAAACCAGAAGAATTTGGAAAAAAATTAAAAAAGCCCACACACTAATCCAGCATTTAGTTGTTCGGTATTTTTTAACTGGGCTTGAACCGTAAAACAAATATTTTACTGAATGTTCAGTTAAAATAAGCGGAATTACTGACATTCAGCAAATACAAACTGAACTTCGGTAACGTTTATTGTAAAATACTGAGCACAGAATTTGTTATTACTGAGTAAGCCAGAAAGTTCTAAATTTTCTGTATTGTACGAAAAGTCAGTAATTATAATTACTGTACACAAAGTAATCATAGATTTTTTCTGGACATCCGTCAAAATACTCAACATATTTTACTGACAATGAATTGTAAAATTCTAAGCTGTCACTTTAGCTTTAGTGAAAATCCAGAAGCAAGTATTTTTTCCACGGCAGCGGAGTCGAGTCGGAGTCGGAGTCGTAGGCATTTTCAAAGTATCTGATGTCCAAATCAAAAGTATTCTTTCTATTACACCGATAAAACACCACCGCCGGCTCCGACCCGACTCCGCAGCCTTGGTTTTTTTTTTTTCTTAAAAATGTTTCAGTAAATATTTGAGAAAGGTGTGTTTTATCATCACGGACTGAAGTAAGTTCGACATTGATATTGAAAAACTTGCTATAATTACTAATAATTCTTTTTCAAGGTAACGATTTAATCCCAACAGTAAGCATTGACACCCCAGCCCCTTTACGTGCGTGGGAAATTATGCGAAGACAACATTGATGGTGTTCATTTCCTGGGAGAATATTAGTGGAAATCCTTAACTGCTGAAAAATACAATTCAACAAACGTGTTTTCTTCTGTGCAATTAATAATTATTGAATTGAAATTATTATTTCTCTCCCAAGACTAACAAAAACTTTTTTAACTGGCTTACACGGTATTTACTAAGAAAAAATAACTGCCTTGTCAGTTAAATGCAAAGCAAATAACGTTCGCATTTACTGGGCTTACCAGTTAATATAGCCGAATGCAAAGCGAATGGATTACCAAACCTTCAGTAGTTTTTGACATTTTGACTTAACTGATAGTTCGGTAACGAAAATTAATGCTGTGGTGATTACTGGATGATCCGCAATTCAAAAACCCAGTAAAATTATACTGATTTCGGTAATCAAGACTAAGTGTGCAACCTTATTTTAATGCCTTTTGAAATTTCTGGGGGAATTTCACAAGGAATTTCACTAGAAGTTTATTTAAAATTATGTTTTCAATTATATAAATAAGCCCACCGTAACCTTAATCTACCTCCAAGGCAAGGTGACTACATATAGGTGTTCTAATGTGTCAAATTCATGATTCAGCCATGTTGGATTTTTGTATGGGACAGCGACCGAGTTTGTTTACAAATTGTTCTAAAACCGCACTTTTCCCCCCCGCGACCTCCTTGCCTATATAGTGACAAAGCTGTATCACCATTTATATACCCACCATGCTCCAAGGTACCGTCACGTGACAACGAACTACCTGAAAAAAAATTGGTGGGTTTGTGTACAAGACACGACCGCAGGGTTGACGTAGACTTCACGCAGAAAAAACTATCGTCGTAACAAAAATATTTGAGGTAAATTTATATGTAAACTCAGTTTGTTCTGGCCACAAACATAAATTAGGTTGATTTCAAACGTATTCCATGTTTGAAGTCATGTGAAATCAATGTTTAAAATAAAAATAATGTTACGTTTATTTCAAAAATATTCGTGTTGAAAATAAACGTATTTATTTTTGTTTGGTTTGACAGCTATGCGAACAATAATAAATATGTTTATTTTAAACATGCTTCTCATGTTTAAAATAAACATACATATTTTGGAATTATTTGAGTAGTTGAGTGCAGGGTAAAGCAAAATAAAACGGAAAGAAATGAAAAAAAAGATCTTCGGGCAGGGCATCTTAATTCCTGCTCTTTTCGGGTGCGATTAAGGGTGACCTGTGGGTATTGGGGTCCTGGTCCGGGATGCAAGGACCCGTCGGGGTGGGTGTCCGGGGGTTCCAGTTCAGTGGAACCGGTGCAAATTTGTGTTATTAGCGTCGTTTTGCCGTTTCTGTCTCCGTTTCTGCCACTGGTCCTCATACCGGTTTCTTTCCGTGTTCGATATCGGAGGAGGATCCGGAATGGATTCGGAATGGATGACCGTTTTCTGTTGAGGTTGAGCAAAGCTGGGGCAACTTTTTCCGAATGTAACAAGAAGGAAATAAAAAGGCATGACACGCTAAAAACCGTTTACCCAAATCCTATATTGTTGAAATAAACATGCTTTTGAATTTACTTCAAACATAAATATTTTAGTTTTAAACATGCTTTCAATTGACTTTGAATAATTCATATGTTTAGAGTATAAACATTTATATTTTTGTTTTAAATGAACAAAATTCGTATCCGTGCATAAATAGAGGTATCGTCTGATAATTTCAGTGCTTGGTACAGAAAACTGTAATCTGTGTAGGAAAAACGCACGAAATCTTAAAAAAACATATTAAGATTTTTTTTTTAATTCAATCAATAGCCTGAAGAATGACAACTGTAAAAAAATCGAATACTTCATCATTTCTCAATAGTGATGGAGTAATACGACATGCATTAAAATAAGGACACGGGATATACTACAATAGGTCAAATTACTGGTCGCAGTGATGTTAGGTCCCGAACAGAGGGAAAAAAAATAGAACATCAATAACTGGTAAAAGTTGATAGAATATTACAGTCATCAACATGATTTGTTCTCTAATTCTATGTACATCGTACAACGTAATGTTAGGAATGGAATGACTAATGTGCAGCAGTTTTGAACGAACTGTAACCCTCGAAACTATCCCACAAATGATAAAGATGATACCCCGAACACGTTGTTTGTCGTGATAGTAGAGAGCGAGGTAGAGAGTTATGGAAAGACGACTACTTCTGTCGAAAGATAATTAGAAGAATGATTTATTTAACTTCAAACTCAAACTCATGGCTACTACGATCTAACATATCTTAATAGAGCTACTACGATCGGTTTGCTCGTTCTTGACACCCCTCCTCAAACTGATCGTGGAAAAACTCCGATACTCGAACAGTGCTTCCGGAACGGCATCGTCGACAAACCGTTCGTCAACAAGTCAGCTTGCTGCTCACCCGTTGGAATGTAGCGAACTTCAAGTTTCTTCAAAGCTACACACTCCCGCACAAAATGTATCTTGACGTCGGTGTGCTTCAAACGCTTCGAAGGTCCGGCTGATTCCATGATAGCAATGGTTGATTGATTATCTTCATATAAAAGTGGCGGCTGCGGTTAGAGCACCCCCAAATCCTTCAAGACCTTGCCGATCCAAATGGCCTCGCACGCTGCGTCTGCTAGAGCGGAACATTCCGCTTCGGTCGACGACAAGGATACGGTGCTCTGCTTCCTGGTACTCCAACAGACTGTGACTCCGTACAGCTTGAACAGGATTCCCGAAACCGAACGCCTGTCGTTGATATCCGTAGCCCAGTTCGCGTCCGCATAGCCAGTCACTTGCCAGATGGGACCGGTCGATCGGTCGTACACCAGTCCGTGATCAGCTGTCCCCTGCAGATACCGCAAAATCCGCTTGGCGTGCACCCAGTGATCTTCGGATGGATTGCTCTGGAACTGACTGAAGTAATTCACCGCTGCGCTGAGATCTGGTCTGGACGTCACCATCAAATAGGTGAGGCAACCTATCACCTCACGGTATGGCTTCTCCAGCTTCTCGTCCGTGTCGTTCTTCACAAGTTGACCCGCTTCCATGAGAGTTGATACGGGCTTGCACTTCTCCATTTCGAATCGCTTCAGGATCGATTTTGTGTAGTGTTCCTGACTTAGTCGCATTCGTCCCGACAACACGTCCCGGTTAATCTTCAATCCCAGGAACATCTTCGCTTCGCCCATGTCCTGCATCGAGAACTCCGACTTCAGCAGCTTCTTGATGGTACCGATGACACCCAAGGAACGAGAGACGACGAGGATATCATCGACATACAGCAGCAGGAACACCTTCTCACCATCACGCTCACATACGTACCGGCAGCTGTCACTCTCGGACCTGCGAAAGCCGATCCGGGTTGCAAATTCGTGAAAATAGTCGTTCCACGCCTTCGATGCCTGCTTCAAACCGTACATGGATTTGTTTAGCTTACAGACTCGATCCCCCTCCTCAAATCCTGGAGGTTGGCGCATGTAGATCTCCTCCGATAGATGACCGTTCAAGAACGCCGTCCGAACGTCCATCTGGTGGATCAGCAAATTCTCTTGGTTTGCCAATCCCAGCACCATTCAAACCGTCGACATCTTCACCACCGGAGCGTAGGCTTCAGAGTAATCATATCCATACCGCTGCGTGAATCTTTTGGCAACCAATCTCGCCTTGTGCTTGTCTACGATGCCATCCGGCGTATTCTTTAGCTTAAACACCCATTTGAAATCCACCGGTTTCCGTCCCGACGGTAGATCCACCAGCTCCCATCAGGTATTGTTTTCAGCTAGTGATTTCAGTTCGTCCTCAATGGCTTCACGCCACCGCGGCCAACCCTCTCGCGACTTCATCCCTTCTATGGTGTCCAGTAGGTTCTGCACGTAGTTCTCCGCATTCAACGCGTACGCCAGGCACGAGTAGTCACCCAACTTTGCCGAGGCCTTCCGTACACGTACGCTTCATCTCGGGTTAACCTCTTCTTCTTCATCATCATCTTCTTCCACCAGTGTTTCATCGTTGTCGTCATCCTAGTCGTCGTTTGGAGGATCAACTTGTTCATTTGCTGGCTCAATTGCAACTACTGGTTCATATGGGACCACCGCCTGCGATTCCGGTCGGGTCCAAACAGGTTGCGCTTCGTCGTCTTTGACATTTTTCACAGGTTCTTCGCTGGTCGACGTATACCTTGATTCATTCACGTTACTGACGTCACGAGCAAGAAACACCTTGTAAGCGCTATGCAAAATTAGACGAGTCATACGTTGTATTCGGGGTACTCGTATACAACGTATATTCGTTATAAGTCAGGTAACACAGTAGACGTGAAAAAGAACTGGCATCACTGATAAGTTCGAAATGCAGTGGCTTTCTCAATGCTTCAGTGGCGCCACCATGACAAATGCAAGCACATTCCCAATTAAAACATTATTTGCGATGAATGTGATTGTGAGTGTTGTGTCTATTTGTCTGTGATTAAATGTTATGCATTTTATGGTTAATCGAAATTCGATTATCGGAGTGGAATTCGTTCAGTGTATACTAAAATTTAATTTTTTAGTTCGTATTTACACTGATAGGCAAAATAAAGTGCCCACCCCATCATTTTTGAAATTTCTCTCATTTATTTGGTTCAAATTCAAATAAACACACCGTAGTCTGTTTCGATGTCTTACCTTTATTATTCTTTTAAAGTTACACCTATGGAATACTGAAAATATAAAGTTTTACTTGAAGTAAAAGAAAATCAATTTGGATTGAAAAAGAAAACAGTGACAAAAAAAAGTGCCCACTTCAAAAATCGGTATGTTTTCGATAAGTTTCCATCGGAAAACCCCTCGATTGTTTTTGTTTTGAAAGTTTGACATGTATTGAAGCAAACGGGTGGAACTGGTGCATTTGTACACGTGATCGCATTTGAATCAGTTGAAAAAAATGGAGGACGTAGTGATTTCGAAAGCAATTCCCGTGTGTATCCGAAAATTGGTTGTTCGTGATGTGCAAAACGGTGAATCGCACCGGTCTGTCGCTAGGAAGTACAATATCAGCAAAACAGCGGTCGGGAAAATTCTGCAGAAAATGAAATCGTTCGGATCAGTGGTGGATCGCCCTGGCAGAGGCAGGATGCGCAAAACGGATGCGAGAACGGACACCAAGATCATGCGTGAAGTGAAGAAGAACCCGAAGGTAACTGTCCGCGAGATCCAGGAGGCTCTTCAGCTAACAGTTTCCAGTCGAACTGTTCGTCGCCGTCTCGTAGCACAGGGGTTGAACAGCAAAGTTGCTCGGAAGCGCCCATTTATCAGCAAGGCAAACAAAGTCAAACGGCTTAAGTTTGCTAAGGAGCATGCTGATAAGCCCCTAGAGTTCTGGAAAACGGTTCTCTGGACGGACGAATCAAAATTCGAACTGTTCAACCGGAAGCGACGGGTTCGTGTGTGGTGTAGATCGGGTGAGGAGCTTCAGGAGCGCCACATACAAGGCACGGTGAAGCATGGAGGAGGAAATGTGATGGTCTGGGGGTGCTTTTCGTGGGGTGGAGTGGGAAGCCTGGTGAAAATCGACGGGATAATGACGGCAGATTCCTACATCGACATCCTGCGGGAAAATCTGGAAGTTTCGCTGATCCAGACGGGCCTTGAGGAGAAATTCGTATTCCAGCAGGACAACGATCCGAAGCATACTGCCAAGAAGACTAAGTCTTTCTTCCGGTCATGTCGAATTAAACCACTGGAATGGCCTCCACAAAGCCCGGACCTCAACCCCATCGAGAATTTGTGGGCGATTCTCGATGCCAGGGTTGACAAAACTGGTGTTACCAATAAAAATAACTATTTTGAAGCCCTGGAGCGCGCCTGGGAAGAACTAGATCCACAGCACCTGAAGAATCTAGTGGAGAGCATGCCGAAGCGCCTGCAGCTGGTCCTGAAGGCCAAAGGAGGACACATTAACTATTAGGCTGGTATTCTTTTACTTTATTTTATGTTTTCTGGAGTTAAAATGCAGTGGGCACTTTTTTTTGTCACTGTTCTTTTTTACACCCATTTTGATTTTTTTTTCTTCGAGTCAGTCTCTTCTTTTTATCTGGTATTCTATAAGTGAAACTTAAAAAGAATATAAAGAATAAGATATAAAAAATACTACAGTGTATTTACTTTAATTTGAACCAAATAAATGAGAGAAATTCAAAAAATGATGGGGTGGGCACTTTATTTTGCCTATCAGTGTATTTTGTTGTTGCTATTATTTCACGTTGGTGTCGTGCGTTTAGTGTTTTATAAAAATACAATTACAATTATAACTGTTTGCCTATTTCCAATCCTGCTTGTTTGCATAGCTTGACTTGTGTTCCAGGATAGTTGAGTGATTGATATTTTTTAAATTATTATTAAAGACCATCGCTTGAGAAAAATTGATCGTTGCTCAGGTTTTTTCTATATTGCAGCACGAAATTCAAAGTAAAATTGTGATTTTATCGTTTCTAATGAATTTTCAACGTTATTATTCACTCACTACATTAAAAATGGTCTTGTAAACTGTATTGTTTCTAAACAGTTAAAATAATAATCTGTCGAACTTCAACTTGGATTTTATCAAAATGGTGGATATGTTACATTGGTCTATTTGAAAAAAGACGCGAGACCATTCGGACACCCCTCGGTTAAGCTTCACTTCAAAGCCAAACAGCGGTGACAATCACTGACAGCTTCTTCCGCGGATTCAGTCGCAGGGGAGGCGAAAAAGAAAGTTTTCGATACACAAATCGCATCCGACAAAAAGAGCAAATTTTCCCACGAAAACGGTTCGTGCGGTGTGAAATGGACACTTCCATGACCGCCGGGGACGATCTGCTGGACGTGTAAGTAGAGGTCCTTGCAATCCTTAATTCGAATCCTTCCCAAAAAGAGGAAAATTCCTCTCACATTTGCTTGCGTCTTCTTTTCTTCCCCTTCTTGCCTCTTGTACACATAAACACACGCATACCATGGCAATGTTTGCGTTTGGAATGATGGATGGATGCATCGTACAGGCCAAATGGCGATCCGGCAACCTACTGCCGACTGTGCACGTCGGAGGTGGATGTGGAGGAACTGTTTCCGGACGGGCAAGGGATCCGGCAGGATGTGATCGACCGAATTCAGGAATGTACCGGAATTCAGATTACCCTGGAGGACGACTATCCGTCGGCGGTATGCTGGATGTGCTTGATATCGTTGGAAGAATTCCAGTGGTTCCGAGAGCGGTGCCACCGGTATGATGTACTGATACGTCGTAAGCGGAAGCAAGTGAGCCTCAATGAAGATCCAGTGGTAGTGGTGGCAGGTAATCATAGCTTCGATGTAGTCATGGAAGACGATGAGGGGGATTATGATGACGACGATGAGGACGAGCCTGACGGGCCGGTATTGAGAATTTCCTCCGTTCAGGAAAATGTTAGAACGATCGAGGAGGATAGTATGTTGGAGATTTCCGTATATCAACCGGCGGAGGAGGAGGAAGAGCAGCTAGATGTGAAGCCAGATTCGGAAATGTTGGCGGCTTACGCCGCACATTTCATGGTCGGTGGAGACGGCCCGGATGCACTGGATGCTACGTCTACCTCGGAGGAAGCGGAGCGTCGGTTCAAGTGCAACCTATGCAGCAAGACGTTCAAAAACCGAGCGAATCTCTGGGAACACAATCGATTGCACACGGGAAACCTTCCGTTCTCGTGTAAAGATTGTGGAACGACCTTTAGTCGGGTGAAATCTCTGATGGCCCACAAGCAAAGATATCACTCGAAGGATTCGACCGAAGATCCTCCGCTGAGATTGCAGTGCAAATTCTGTCCTCGTGTGTTCCCTCGCAAAGGCGACCGTACGCAGCACATGAAAATGGGTCATCCGGATTTGTACGATCCAACTGATAAGATGGAGGCACCAACGCCGACACTCTCGAGCGGAAGGAACACTCCAGCTGCCAGCTTTGGTGGTAAGTTGGGGAAATTTCTGTTTACTATTCCGATTTTACCAATTGAGCGTTTTGATTTTCAGCAGCTTCTTCTGCTGTGCATGTCTTGCCGGAAAGGAAGGCCGTCGCCATCAAGAAGTCACTTTCTTCAAGTACTCCAACGCCGAGTCCGTCAACAGCAAATGATTCCAATAGCAACTGTACCATTTGCATGAAGAGCTTCCAATCCGGACGGGAAATGGAGGACCACGTGAGCAATGATCACCCGAAAGGCTCCATTATGCCGTGTCCTTTCTGTCCGAAGACGTTCAAATCGAGGCAGACCATTCGGATGCACATTCTCAATCACCAGGGCAAATTGCCGTACAAATGCGACGATTGTGATGCGCGTTTCGATCGAAAGTTCTATCTGCAGAAGCACCGGGAACGCTACCACCAGGGAGACAACCATTTAATATTGAAATGCCGCTTCCGATGCAAGTTCTGCCCTCGGCTATTCCAGCGGAAGATTGATCGTAAAACTCACACCCGCATGGTGCATTTGAAAGAAATCAGGATCAAAAAAGAGAAGATGGATCCGGAAATTGACGGTGAGGGGGAAGCTTCCGCAGCAACTCCAACAAATCAATCGCCACCAACCGAACTCAGCTTCGGTTGCCTCGTGTGTGGAAAGCAGTTTGCCTCAGCGGAAAAGCTTCGAAACCACACGAATATCCACCACGTAAAGAAAGACATTAAACCCGTCTTGGCCATGAAGGCCAAACAGGCAACCATGCGGCCATCGCTGAACGTTCGCCGGCCGTTCAAGTGTCCGTACTGTCCGAAGACGTTTGCCCAGAAGTACGTCATGACAGAGCACACGTTCATCCATACGGGCTCGTTGCGCTACCCGTGCGACAAGTGCATGGCCATGTTCAACCGTCCGCACTACCTGCGGGCTCACCAGCTCAAGTATCACGGAAAAGATTCCAAATTCAAAGCAATCAAGTGTCGATTCTGCACGAGGAGCTTCGTGCGCAAGCAGGACATTAAGATTCACGAACGGATTGCTCACAACGTGCTCCAGGACGATGGGACCGTTCAGCGGGAGATCATCGAAGCCTCACAAAACGGAAACGCTTCCGTGGCTGCGGAGGAGGGAGTTGACGATGGTGGTGGTGAGGTAACAACGGGTACAACCGGAACGGCGGCTCCTTATGTCGTCGATGAAGAGCTGGATGATTTCGACGGCGATGATGACGACTATGACGATGGAGAGAATGGAGACTACGTCGACACCCATGAGTAAGTTTTTTGCATGTTAAGCTAGTCCAGATTGTTCGGATCCATTGGAATTGCGAGCCAATCTGGTAGAATGATTATTGAGTACCTATGCTGGCACCAGCTTGCCGGCACTGTTTTACTACGCACGCTTTTGACAGCTGCCATGATTTCTTTCGACACATCACTCAGTCTTCGTATTGTCTTTTCTTTCTGAACCGCTTTAAATCTCTCAAAAAATAGTCCCACATCGGTGTCATATTTACTCAAATCATGAAGTCTCTCAATGATGCGCAAAACGATATCTAACTTCATCATCCTATTCCTTTTCACAGTTTGCCGGAAAATCCGGAGATTCGGGACGTGGTCGTAACACTGGAACGCATCCCCGAGGACGTCCTGGAGACGCTCGACAATTCCTACGACGATTACGAAGAGGAGCATCAGGCGGCAGATGACGACGTGGAAGAGGCGGAAGAGGAACCCAACGGAGACGCCGATTCGGCCAGCAATCGCAGCACGGAGACACCACGTCTGAACATGAGCCTAACGCTGCACCGGTGCCCCAAGTGTCACAAGGTGTTTAAGACTCGCAAATCGCTCAAACATCACATGATCTACCATCAGAACCAGTTGCCATTCTCGTGCGACGAGTGCGGTGTCCAGTTTCCTCGCAATCGGCCACTTCAGGTTCACAAGCAGCGGTACCACTCGGAGGATGCTCCGTACACGGGAGAGCGCTTCAGCTGCGATTACTGTCCGAGGATCTTCCTGCGGGATCGCGACAAGCTGTTCCATCAGAAAACCGTACACTCGCTGGAGCGTGCCATTCGGGACGACGGCACTCCGGAACTTAAGAAAGCAAAGGTCAAGAGACGAAAAGATTACGTTTGCTTGCACTGCTGCGAACGATTCGAAACCGAAAAGTCCTGCCAGCGGCACATCAACGTGGTTCATCCGGATGAATCACCGGTAAAAACCCCTTGCGATTCACCGATTCCAGCGATGCTGGTTACACCCAAGCTGGAACCTGAAGCGGAATCAACCGCCAACGATGATGGTGATGATATAAAACCAACCATTCCACAACAATATCAATCCCTGCCGCCACCTCCTCCACCGGCCATCGGAAGACCGTACAAACTGTGCCGCTGTTCGACATGCGTGGCCATTTTCAAGAACCGCGATCAATGGGATGATCACTTCCAAACCCACCCGAACGTGCGACCGCACCACTGCGAGGAGTGTTTGCTGAAGCGCAAGAGCAAGAATCGAAAAACAACCTCGGTGGGCTTCAAGTGTCAGCACTGCCCGAAGGTGTTCACCAAGGCCAATACACTGCGGACGCATCAGCGGTTGCACACGTCGGAGCTGAGGTTCCCGTGCGACGAGTGCGGCATGATGTACGACCGCTACCGGTTGCTGCAGGCCCACAAGGATAAATATCATTCGGAGGACTCGGTCCTGCATCCCCCGCGGGAAACGTTCCGCTGTATGTACTGCCCGAGGACATTCATGCGGCAGCGCGATTGCAACTTCCACCAGGAATCGGTGCATGCGGTTTAGGCTGGTCGTTCTAACCGGGATTATTGTCTATTACGATTGAGAACAAAGCAACATTTGGAAGTATTTTTAGTATTACTACCTACAACACTGATCACATTACGAAGCCAAGCATAAAATCACCCACTCACAAGCATATTTTGCAACCGGAGCAGATTATTAGGTTGATATAATGTTTCTCTTCTTTACTAGGTTTAGTTTTTACTCCTATGTTTTAGTACATATGACTTTATTATTATTTTTTCATAGCATTGTGATGGAACAGAATTTCATGAAACCAGACATTACATTTTATACTCGTGACACAGCTATTAGCTTCTTCCCTCCTGCATATACTAAATACCTACTTAATAAAATTGAGTAAGATCTGATGCCGATATGTGCAACAACAAAAAAAAGCGATTGTTTTCACTGACAGCAGAAGTAATTGTCCGCCCATCTTACCATAGGCCGAACGAGGACCTACTTAGCCTATGCGTTAATGCATGCCATACCCTTTGGCATGCCGCCAGTGCGCAAAACTGTCAGGTTCAATGAGTCATATCTAGATAGAGCTGGAATTAGGGCGTAACAGCTTTTGTAAACAATGACTTCTATCGATGATTTCTAGAAACTCAAGGCACGCCCACGCAGACCAACATAACCATCGGATAGGGGAAGTCTTTCCCTACCCGATGAGGAGGTTGGTTTGCGTGGGCGAGTCTTGAATTTCTAGAAATCATCGATTGAAGTCATTGTTTACAAAAGCTGTTAGGCCTTAATTCCAGCTCTATCTAGATATTCATATTATGAATATGAACAGTCATCCGCCTCATCATTCACCGCCACGTGAGAGTCTGAATGATTGGAAAGTAAACGAGTCACTGACTGCAGAGCACTTAGTCCTAGGCGGGTAATATAAAGGTGACAGAGTAGGAAGAAGTTTTGCTATAACAAATGCTCCTCGTGTTTATTAGCGAAATTCACATCAAAAGTTGATTAATTGCGTAGGAAATCAGTTTGGCACGGCATTTGAGACCAGCATACACCTTCCGGTAGTATGAAACAGGTCAAAAACTGTTCAAATCCGCCCATAAAATTGTTTGCTTTGAATTTCTGTATATATATGGCAAAATAGTGAACTTTTCGTGAACATTAACGGCAAAGAACTCACCAACACTGGGAGACCATGAGCTCCTGCCCACCTGTCATAAAACCAGACAGCTATTAACACTGATAGAATTCCACACATTTTTATTGACGAATTTCCATGTAAAAATTCCACATGATTTTCATGTGATCACACATAAACAGAATCCACCCAAAAGCACACATGAAATGTATGAGTCAAATGAATAGTATGTGTGGTTACACATGACTTTTATGTGTACACACATTAAGTATGTGTCCGACACATAGATATCATGTATTGAACACATTGCAAAAATTCATGTGTGGGACACATAAAAACAATCTTTGAAATTTTATCAGTGAAGGATATTCCTACAACGCAAAATTACCACTAATAATCCATCTGAACCAGACCACAATAAATGCCCAAGCGCAATGACAGCGGAAGCGAAACGGCAACGGCAGCGGAAAAGCCCGATCTGAGTAAGCCAACTTGTCGGATTGAAAACTTGTTGGAACCAAATCGACTTCGGTTAGGCATCTTGATGTCATTTGTGACAACTGTCAAACTTTCCGTTTCCGTTCCGCTTCCGCCCACATTGCGTTTGGGCCTTAAGAAACCACTAACCGTATTGTGCTTCCTCTAAGCGTAGAACTAATCCCTAAACCTAAACCTGTTCTAATGTATTTTTTTTCTTTATTAGAGTGACTTTCAGCCACTGGCTGGTTCGTCACTTACTAATGTAATTGTAATTGTAATTGTTCAGTGCATAGGCTGTGCCTTCCGCTAAGAAGGCTTATCTAGGGACCAACCCCCTAGTCTATACACCTACTGTCCTTCCCGTTGCACTCGTCAGCTCGTGCGATACTCTAGACACACATGGGTGGTCGTATCCGGGTCCTCCCCTGGGTAGGCTCGTGTCCGTCCAGGTTCTGGTACATTAACTTATCTATATGCATGGTAATTATACTTTTAAAACTCACCTTTTGATTATAATGTCGAAAATGCTGAAACTAAATAAAGGTTAGCGATCCATATAAGGTGTGTGCTGCGACGGAGTAGTAATTGAAGGAAATGAGGTTCTGATGTGAAGTATAGGTAATTCTAAAATAGGTAAAACAATTAATCATTAGCTTTTTTTTTCCTTTGGTTTGTTTTTTCCGTCGATCTTGTTTTCCGTGCTGAGCACCAATGCTACCGACGTGCCAGGAAGGCAGCTCCCACACCTGGACCCTACCCTATCGACCCATCAACTCATGAACCGGGGACCAACGGCTTTACTTCCCATCCGAAGGAAGGCGTGATCAGAGATGTTATGCCTCAGAACATCCCGGCGGCGCCGACTGGGATTGAACCCAGGCCTGCTGGGGTAATAGGTAATCACGCTTACCACTACACCACCGGCGTCGATGAAATTAATCATTAGCTGCTAACAGTTACTAATAAACGGGTACGATAAATCACTCATCAATGAGTATTGCCACTCCCACTGAAAAATGGGCAAAACCTTAATCATAAATGGATATTCGATTCCTACCGTGTATTTAAAGTAAAGTTAGGATCTTATCAAGCAAGCACACACCTTTTACGATTCTTATCCTAGTTACGGTTTCCTGCACACACGGCTTTTCCTAGATACAAGCTTCGTCCAGTATACATTGGCTGCCTCCAACCGGCATGTTCCTTTCTGTCTGCCCCAACAAACAATCGTCTATTGAAGAAACGACTTCTTGGCCATTTTATTCAACTGCATGCTTAATAGTACTTGTACTATTTTTAATAACAACTTCTGTTCAGGCTTTGTTCACACAAATCTGGAGAATTTATTCAACCACAACATCGAAATATTTGGTGTTGAATAAGGTATGTCGAGAAGCTTTTATTAGACTTATATTGAGTTGTAACAGAGTTTATACGATAAAATTAATGATTATTCAGCGTTTATTAGACATCACTGCTTCTCCTTAAAAACAGTGATGCTCTGTATACGCTTGATTCTCATGTGAAGTAACGTTTAATTAATTATTATACATTTATAAAACGATTATTCAACTGTGGGAAAATTAACCCGAAAATAAGATGAACGGGGACAGGGAAGGGGGGTGGTGTGGTGTGTTTTTCTTAAGTGTATTGTATTTCATTATTTCTGACGTGGCTCGCACCACCCAGATATTAGAAAATTTATTAAATACTTATACATGTCGTTGTATGGTATGGGATTCGAACCATGTACCTTCCGATCACCAGCCGCTTGCCTTGTCATCTGAGCTATCCTAGAATTCATCATATGGGCAACTCAATAATCTATAAAAGCTTGCATGAAAGTAAATACCTATCAGCACTCCCGATCGCAACTCTACCTCCTCGAAGGCCCTGTGGGAATGATTAATTCATTCATCGTTGTTTTGAATGAGAACAATGTTGCCTCTTCACATCTCCAAGTCGAAAGAAAGGATGCTCGGTTATATTTTAAACTAGATCAATGCATTCATTATCGTGAGTCATGTGATCGATGATTACTATTTAGATTAATTATTGTAAAAAAAAAGGTTTGAGCTTGGGATTGAACTCATGACCTTCTAATTGGAAAGCGGAAACGGTAACCAATACTCTACTGATTTCGCCTTGTTGTAAGACTGAATCAGTGTTGTCGAATAATGAATCTAATACGTCGTTTATAAAGCATTTAAAAATCATGTGATTACAACATGGACGCATAGTGGTATAAGAGCTATTATGCTGACTGTATTCACCTTTATTCAACAATATTGTAAAGTAATGCAATGCAATCTTATAAAGGAGCTGGAGAACATTTATTAGACGTCTAATAAAGCATGTAATTAAATCAATTGAAAACAGTCGAATTAAAGTGTCAATGTATGTACAATTTACACTTATTCAGTTTGTTATTAGATCGAACTTCTGGCGTTGAATTGGGAAGACATTTAACACTTTTACAGCTTTTAATAAGTAAATTAATCAGATCAGAGCAAACAGTGGAATAGATGTGCATCTATCGATCTCAATAAGCTTTTTCAGCACATAATTCGACAACTCTTTTTATTCAGCATTGTACACTGTTATACAACATTTATTCAATATATATGCTTATTTGTGACTTTGAATTGTTTGTTGGGTGGTATAAGAGCTATTTTGCTGAGTGTATTCACCTTTATACAGCAATATTGTAAAGCAATGCAATGAAATCTAATAATGGAGCTAGAAAACATTTATTAGACGTCTAATAAAGCATATTATTAAATCAATTGAAAACAGTCGAATTAAAGCGACAATGTATGTGCAAATTATACTTATTCAGTTTGTTATTAGATCAATCTTCTGGTTCTGAATAAGGAAGACATTCAACGTTTATAAAGCTTTTAATGAGGAAATTAATCATATCAGAGCAAACGGCGGAATAAAAGCGCCTCTATCGATCTCAATGACCTTTTTTCAGCACATAATTCGACATCCTGTTTTATTCAGCATTGTACACTGTTATACAACATTTATTCAATGTGTATGCTTATTTGTGACTTTGAATTGTTTGTTGGGGCTTCCTCTTGCCGGTGCAAGTTTAATTATTCTTTTCTTGTTCGAATTTTCTTGCTACTTTTCTCCTATTGAACTTCTGGTCGTGTTCCCATTTGTCCTCAGGCAGTTAATATTAGTACATGATAGGAAGAAAGAAAGAAATAGAACAAGTTAAGTGTGAGCCCAAGCATTGGTTACTTATTTGGGTCATGGTGTTGTCTTCCCTATTTATTTACCTCTATTCGCTCTCATATCGCAACGTTTAACTCTGGATCAACAATAGAAAAGGGCCCATCAGCACTCGTAAACAAACCGCTCCAAAGCCCCCCACTCACAAAGCGAAGGCCACCCACGCAAACCAACACCATCATCGGATAGGGGAAACTTCCACCTACACGAAGATGGTGTTGGCCCGCGTGAGCAGCCCCCGATCCGTGAGGAACGGGCCCTGGACGGTCTGCCCACAAATGCCGATGGGCCCCCCTCCATTGTTGATCCAGAACTCACCCCCTTCCCTCACACTATTATGGTCGGAAAAGAGAACCCATATTTAGTAATCTATCGCGAACTGCGATGCAGAAGATATTAATAGCAAACTAATCTGGAACTGGTCTAAGACATAAAGGGTGATACGGTCAAAATTTGGTCAATATCAACTTGACGTATTTCTTTCAATTTTGCATTTAAAAAACCTGAACACCCCTCATTTTGAAGGTGTGTGTGTGTAGAATGTTGCTCCTATTTTGATTTTGGAATTCACTCTTCAGTTGTCAAAATGCCGTCCAAGCAAGAAGAGCAGCGTATCAAAATTTTGCTCGCGCATCGCGAAAATCCGAGCTACTCGCACGCAAAGTTGGCAAAATCGCTAAAAGTTGCCAAATCAACCGTTACAAATGTAATTAAAGTGTTTGGGGAACGTTTGTCGACAGCCAGGAAGTCTGGATCGGGGGGAAATCGAAAACCGGAAGCCGCTGAGACGACAAAGAGAGTTGCCGGTAGTTTCAAGCGAAACCCTAACCTCTCTCTCCGAGATGCCGCAAATAAGCTGGGTGTATCGTCTACAACCGTGCATCGAGCCAAAAAACGAGCCGGACTATCGACTTACAAGAAGGTAGTGACTCCAAATCGCGATGATAAACAAAATACGACGGCCAAAGCGCGATCCCGGAGGCTGTACACGACGATGCTGACGAAGTTTGACTGCGTGGTAATGGACGACGAAACCTACGTCAAAGCCGACTACAAGCAGCTTCCGGGACAGGAGTTTTATACGGCAAAAGGAAGGGGAAAGGTAGCAGATGTTTTCAAGCACATGAAACTGTCAAAGTTCGCAAAGAAATATCTGGTTTGGCAAGCCATTTGTACCTGTGGCTTGAAAAGCAGCATTTTCATAGCTTCCGGGACTGTCAACCAAGAAATTTACGTGAAAGAGTGTTTGAATAAACGTCTGCTGCCTTTCCTGAAGAAACACGGTTGTTCCGTACTGTTTTGGCCGGATTTGGCATCTTGCCATTACGGTAAAAAGGCCATGGAGTGGTACGCCGCCAACAACGTGCAGGTGGTTCCCAAGGACAAGAACCCTCCCAACATGCCAGAGCTCCGCCCAATTGAGAAATACTGGGCTATTGTCAAGCGGAACCTAAAGAAGACCAAAAAAACTGCTAAGGGCGAGCAGCAGTTCAAGGCAAACTGGCTTTCTGCGGCGAAGAAGGTGGACAAGGTGGCTGTATAAAATCTGATGGCAGGGGTCAAGCGTAAGGCCCGGCAATTCGGATTTAGAAAAGCGGAAGCCTAACTGAATATTTTTCCTGAATTTTATACTAATTGAACTTGAAAAAGAAATTTAATTTGATTTTTTAAATAAACGATTTCACCGATTTACACGCGTTTTCCCTTGACCAAATTTTGACCGTATCATCCTTTATGACCCAGTGAGTATTGACGCCTCACACTGTTGTGAATGAGCACGGACGCGAGATTTACTAGAGTATTAAATGCAAAACGCAAATTCAAAATAAAACTTGACAAGTCATCGTCAATCCCCTTATTCTTGGGCAGGGTCTGACGATGTGAATCTGATTTTGATCAGTGAACGGGCCCCATATGGTACATTTTCTCACTATGAACATGTCATTTCCAGCCTATCTGAACTATTTAATAAATGGAAACCATAACATGGGTTACGCTTCCCCTAAGCGGGCCCTCCGCATCCTATCTCTGTCTTATCTCAAATGCCAATGCTTTGAATGTATCAATATATACATTGGAAATGACGTTCAATCAAATAAACCCATACCCCACTCACTTGGCCAGGTTTCAGAATCGTCCAGTTAGGATTATATCTGAAAAATCCAAATTTGGCCAACGCCCACCATTAAAAATCTAACACTACTTCTTGCTTCTAAATTCGTCCTAAATACGCGTTTCAAGTCCGTCCAAACGCATTGAAACGCCATTAGATTTTCTTCGTCCTACGGATAAACGGAGAAAAAGGGGATGCGCTAGGAACGCTTCTTTTGTTTTAAGAACAATGAGCGTAAATATGCATACAATGCGCTCTAATAGGATTTATGTCGTAGCTAATGAACTAACGCATCGGAACAAACGTATTATTGTTTTGTGCATGGTGAAATCATTGATATTATTGATGATTTCTGCTCGATAGAACGGAAATGGGAGATTACGACGAAATAGCGCTCTTCCCTACTTAATAGCCATTCGATGTCCGTAATAAAAATTAAAAAAAAATTAAAATTTGGGTAGCTTTAGTTTTATGTTTGTTTGAGTGTTTAACGACGATTTAAAGGCAGCTTCGTTTTTTGTGAATGCGGACAATTCAACGAGGTGAATCAGTTGTAAGAGCAGAAAGGCTTCAGATGCTGAATGAGAGATGAAATTCAATATAGGAGGTATTCTCAAATTGAAAATCGTCATTAGCAACGATATTGCTTTTGGTCGGTTTTGCTGAACGTTCTAGTTACACACATTCAACTACTTGCGCAACTCACTACTCAATCAGAATGTTGTGCATGCGTTAATAAACCGTTCACCTCTATCGCATCTCTCATTTCCTCACCCTTCTCTTAGGGCCCATGGATTAATTATGCCACGCTAAATCGAGCAAAAAATTACCCCCCTATCGTGACATTTTCCCTATACCTAATGCTTGTTGCTTGTTACAAAATCTTAGAACCCCTCTCCTCCCTTAGAGCGTGACATAATATATTCATCAACCCTTACCGCAGTTTACCACTTGCTGGTTTTTCCCAAAAAGGCAGCAAGTGAAACACCTCTATATCTAATTTCATCTTGGCTTCATTTTTTGTGAATGCAAACCATTTAACGAGCCGAGTCAGTTGTGCGAGCAGAAAGGCTAACAGATTGTTTGGATGCAGTTTTCAACAAATTCAGTTTTGATAAATTTTCGGCCTTTCTGGCTTTCGGCCTTTTTGGTTTTCGGTACCTTAGAATATTTTCGGCCTTTTGTGTTTCGGCCTTCTGTACGCGTCCCGATGTGGCTGATAAACTATAGTCCTATAGGATTAACTGGCCTTCAAAAATGTACTGCCGCAATCCGTCAGCTTGCATGAATACATCAGGATGACAGAGACAGCTAGGATCCTTGGACTGCACATCCAACCACAAAAATGATTGTAGCTTCAAATTATCATCAATGAGAAACCCTTTAGACAGATTCTCAGATTTTTGATTGAATTCATTTCAGATTTCCTTTTGAATCTCACTCCTTAACTTGGAATTCTACTCACATTGAAAGTCTCCTAAGAGTTCACTCACTCTCCTGGAATTCTTTTCCGAATTCCTTTGAAGATCTTCTGGAGTTATTCTCAGATGTAATTGTAATCATCATTTTAGTAGGACTCCAGATTAGTTTTCTCCCACAAATTTAATGAATTTCATCCTGGAATTTTCCTCTTCAGTTTACAGGAGTTCCTATGAATTTTCATTAAAATTTGCTTTGAATTCAATTCAGGGTTTTCTTGAAATTTCAAATCATAGTATACTAGAGACTAGACGAAGTACTTTACATAATGATAGATCTGTTTAAAATGGCATGTTACATAACTTTCAAAAAATTGCCACGACAAAACGTTGTAAAAGAACTGATTAAAGAATTTAAATACTGGCGAAGTGCTTTCAAGTGGGGTAACATTTTACAGTGATTATACGGAAATAAGAAACTTATATTCAATTGACCTCGACCGTTCCGAAACAATATATGACACAGCCAAAAATGGTCAATCCATAACATTGTTTTTTTTTTTATTACTGTCATTAAATCTTGAATAATTAGAAAGTATATAAAAAAATTAAACACCGAGTTGCCCTCACTGCTGACCTATCTCTCTGATATCAGTTCTCCTGAACTACCTTAACCCAAAGTCTCACTCTGATGACATCACATCTTTCATCTCGCTACATATTTTTGATCAAGAACTTCGACAGCACATTTTCACTTACCCAACTGGGCCGACGGCTTGGTTTTGGTCCGATTCCCGCGCCCGGACGACCGACTGGTGCATAGTTTTGAGCAGGATCATGAGGCTTTCCCAAGCGCCATGCTTTCGCAGTGCCAGACTGCTCTGCATTTGATCCCGTGCCTCGCCATGTGGTTGACGTGCTTCTGAAAGATTCCAAATACGCTCCAGCTCCAGAATACCACTGCAAATTATTGCGTATAGTTCCAGTAGACTCTACAACATTAGACAGAAGGAGATTAATTTAGTTTCAAGTTGTTTCAATTGTTGGAAACTCACTTCATGTAGAATTAGGTGATCTTTTAAATAGAGCGGATCGTTCGACGTTCGCTCTAGAGTCACCACCAGTTCCTTTGCTTTAGTATGGATTCCGTCCAACAAGCTACCCAGCATTGTTACTCGGAAGCGTTGTTGTCGCCTGGTCTGCCCGACGGGAAATATCGTCACCGACAGTAGAACGACCAGGCCCTGCAGGTAGTAACGGGTTTGGTAGGCTGTAAGCCAGCTTCTCTCATACCCTAAATTAACAAACCGAGTAAGCAGCCTCGGAATGAGTGCTCCGCTTCGAAGCCGCCATTGATTAGAAATTCGCCGTTTGACTTTGTCTTGTAGACGGGTCTTTATGTGCGAGCAAAACTCCTCCCGATCGCATTTGCGACCGGAAATGGTACACGATTCCGGTTCAAACTCCTCTAATTTGACTTCCGGCAAGTCCAACAGTAGCATTTGAATCAGAACTTTAAGGTAGATCAATGACTGTCTTATGTCCACCGACTGATTTAGGAGGGACCCCAAAATTCGCAAGATTTCGTCGTCCAGCAAAGTGTTCGGATCACGTATGAACTTGACGGCATAGTATACAACATCCCACAATACATCCTCGTCGTATTGATCCGCTGTAGTTCCAATCAAATTAAGTGTCAGTTGCAAAATCTCCTCGGAATCATTTGTGTAGCTGCGGTTGTTATACGTATGCTTCATAACCGATTTCGTCAACATAAGTCCCAACACCTGATAATCCGGGTTTTGACGGTAGCCCAGCAGCTGCTTACCGAAAGTTTCCAGAAACGACACCACCCTTGGCCCAAGGCGCACATCCGTCTCCCGTTCGTTTTCCACCAGAAAGTGACACAACCGAACGAGACTGTAGGTTTCACCCGGTCGACACTGCCAGCCCTGCATTGCTAGTTCGCTTCCGTAATAGTGAAACAACCAGCTTCGAATGCCCGAATTCGCATCCGTAGTGAGGATGCGGTCTACCTCTGCTTTGAACGTCGACAGGCGAAATTCTAAATCATCTGCATCATCAGCCACTAACCGAAATGGTGCGTATTCCAGCGATTGATTGACCTGTTCGAAGTAGACCAACACGAAATACTTTCGGAATTCCCATGTAACCGAACCCCACTCCTCGTCGAACAGCGTCTTCCGGTGCTGTTGGATCCAGGCCAGCAACTGGGGCAGCAACTGTAACAATCTCTCGGACCACTCGCCCTGCATTTGGTCCATTTGATCTGGGTAAGCGTGGGAGCAAAACCGAGGCACTTTACATTCCCGCAACAGCCGCAAACCTTCGCTGATGACGGAAATGGCTTCCATGATGATGTCTTTCAAATTGTGTTTCAGCAGTCTGGGAAATTTTAGGCATAGCATTGGAAAGTGCTCGCTATAGTTGGATATAATATAAAAAATATTTATAAAAGTAGGTACCTACTTAGGGGCTGTTCATAAACTACGTAGACAGTTTAGGGGGGGGGGGGGGGGGGGGTTGAGAATTATTTACGGCCCATACAAGTTTTAAAAATTTTGTATGGAAAATTGTCTACGCAGGGGAGGGGGGGTGTCAAGAATCCCAAAAAAACTGTCTACGTAGTTTATGAACAGCCCCTTACCAGTATTTGAACGAAATTTAGGTTGGGAAGTTCAGTCAAATTTACAAACAAACTGGAACGACGCTTCATCAGGCGATTCAGTCATCATCTTGATTAATTTTTGAATATTAGGTGCTTTCAAGCATAAATTTTCAAAAGGACGTATGTAACATTGGATAGGAAATTAGAAACATTGGATAGCAATGTCTATATGAGATTATTAAATGCTATTTAAAAGTTAATGCTATTTTTTTTTAATCTGTTTGTGCTATGAGTTGGATAAAGGAATAGCGTTTAAGAGAATTGTGAAAATGTCGAGTTTTGCAAACACGGACAAGACTTTTGATAAAACAAAATCATACACCTTTTACTCGTGTACTACTCACATACACCCTGATTAATTCGTCGGTATCACACCTTGATTGTTACATACACCCTGCATGATTCGTCTATTTGACAGAAGGGTTTTCACATACGTCAAATCAGATACACCGGTTTTTGTTTTGCAGTGAAGATACGTCGGCAGCTCGAAAAGCATTGAGAAATTGTCGGTTGGTTGGTTTATTTACATAACTACCCAGAGTTGTGAAATAATCGATGTTAAAAGCGGAGATGAGAGGGTCACCGCATTATCTGCTGTCAGATGTTATACGTTTTGTGTTTTTCGTATTAAGAAAGCGCTGGTCAGATTGGTATGTGAAGTTCAATATTAAAGTCAAGATTAAAGTGCAATTTTATTAGAATACTTTTGAAATAATAAACATGTTGCTCCCGGAAATACAAAAACAAACATACAAACTTGACGCATTTGCTGATTGATAGTGGTTGCTTTGTTTTTTCACATACGACGCTTCACTGTGAGCGTATCTGCAGTTTTTGTGTTATCATCAAATTTAAACAGTTAAGTCATGTTGACAATAAATGGGTGTATCAACACCATTTTAAAAACAATGAAAGAAGGTCACATATGGCGTTCATTAAATATATTTTCCATAATGCATTTCAATTTCAAACCTTGTTTTTCATTAACTCGTAGGAAAAGCATGTATTTTATATTCGGTTAGATGCAAAATATCGATTTGTTTATTTTTGCGACTTACGTCCTTTTGAAAAGTTATGCTTGCTTTTGTCGATCACTCCCAATCAGGGTTGCCAACAATTTTTCAAAAAATAATAATGGCAAAATCCCGGGCAAAATAAAATTTAATAAATTTAATAAAAAAAAACTGGAGGAAAACCTCGAGGAAAACTGAATCCTTATATCTAGAGTAACATTTGAAATGGGCCCATGTCCAAAACGTAAACAAACCAGAAAATTAATTTTTAATTTTTCCGCCACTATTCAATTCATATTTAAGAAAATTGAAGTATTTTTGGCATTAATATTTTTCACAATAAAAACATCCAAAATATGCGAAAATCTTTCAAAAATTAATGAAAATAGATAACAATTTAATTTCATAAATTAATAAGCCTTTTTGTGAATCTTTCAATGGATAGGCCCTTTTTGTTAAGCCGTTGTGCTTGTCATCAGAAATGGTACGCCCTTTGCTAAGCCTTTTCGCAACTGCAAATAAATTCAAAACAAATCATCGGCCCTGCCTCAAGCAGTAGGGCCTCCCGCATAAACGCGAACCATAAATTCGGCACCAACATTTCAAAAGGGCGAAACTGACAATTGTAAACAGACTGCGTTTTTTATTTAAGTAGAGAGCTAATGCTCTAATGAAATACATATTTTCATCAAATTTTATTAAAGTCGTTTTTTGTCACCAAGGATTTAGTATAAACAAAAAGGCGTAATTGAATTGATGTGGGAAGTCATAGTGAGCTTTGTTTCGCCCCTCGTTTTCTTTGTAAACAAAAAGGCGAAATTGACAGCTAGGTTTGCAGTACGGCTAAAAATTATTTTTTTGTAGATTTGTAAAAGTTCATGCAATTTTAGGCGTGTTTTTACATGGTAAAATATCGTTTTCAATTTGAAATCGTTGAGAAAACTTTTTCAAATGGAATCCTCCAACTTCCAGGAACTTCTAGGTAAAATTATTGTGTTGATGCATTGATGCACAGAATACTAACGCGTTCCAATATTTGAAAAATTAAATTTCAGATGCAGCAGCAATGTTTATGCACGAAGAAAATGCTGCATGTAATGAAGAACATGTTCCTTCTGCTGGATATTTTGAAGAGGTGGATATGGTGGACACATCCAGAAACGAAAACCCAAGAAATCGAAGTGAAGGAGAGAAGGACAGAGCTCCATTAGCAGAATGCTTCAAGTCACCGGAAATGTTTTCGAAATCCAACATCTTGGAAGAGTCTAATGTATCGTTCTGCAATGTACAATGCTCCACTCCAAAAAAAACACGAACGGAAATGCACTACGGCTTTCCAGATATTTTTGATCGGCAAACCTCACTCGAATCCACTGAATTCTCAACAGACCTGAGTGTGAGTGCACTGGACCTTCGGACGAATAGAAAATCTGACTATTTGAGCTTGAGCTGCAGTGTTTCATCTGTTCCCAATAGGAGTGTGTTAAGTGACATAGGGAACTGCTCCATTTATAATGATCCTCGTGAATTCTTGCCCGCTTCAAAGCATTTTCGTAGCCAGAACATCACCCGGAACCGGTACGGAAAGAATGATCGACGTAAGCATTTATCTCATTCAAGCCGAAGTTCACATGCGCCCGCGATGCACCATGATGGTGCACCTAGCTGCGTATCAGTTCAATCGGATCACAACTATTCACGGAAACACGAAACAAGTCGCCTATCCTCCTCAAATAGAAGATCGTTTGCAGCTAGAATGCACCGTGGTGATGCACATGGCGATGCCATGAATCGACCTGAACACCGTAACTCTCCGAATCTCGTGGATAGATGTCCATCTATCAAAAACGGACATTCGCATGCGGCTGCTATGCACCGTGGTGGTGCGCATGGCGATGTTCAAAATCGTCCTGTCCACCGTAACTCTCCGAATCTCCTGGATACATCTCTATCTAACTCAAGCGGATATTCGCATGCGCCTCCATGCACCGTAGTGATGCGCATGGCGATATTCAAAATCGTCCTGCCCACCGTAACTCTCCGAATCTCCTGGATACATCTCCATCTAACTCAAGCGGACATTCGCATGCGGCTGCCATGCACCGTAGTGATGCGCATGGCGATGTTCAAAATAGTCTTGGCCACCGTAACTCTCCGAATATGCTGGATACATCTCCATCTAACTCAAGCGGACATTCGCATGCGGCTGCCATGCACCGTAGTGATGCGCATGGCGATGTTCAAAATAGTGTTGGCCACCGTAACTCTCCGATTATGCTGGATACATCTCCATCTAACTCAAGCGGACATTCGCATGCGGCTGCCATGCACCGTAGTGGTGCGCATGGCGATGTTCAAAATCGTCCTGCCCACCGTAACTCTCCGAATCTCCTGGATACATCACCATCTAACTCAAGCGGACATTCGCATGCAGCTGCCATGCACTGTAGTGATGCGCATGGCGATGTTCAAAATCGACCTAGGCACCGTAACTCTCCAATTCTCCTGGCAACATCTCCGTACACTTCAAGCGGACATTCTCATGCGACTATCATGCATCGTGCTGGTGCGCATGACGATGTCCAAAATCGACCTAACTCTCCCAGTTCAGATGTTGGAAAGTGTTCTGAATCAGAGTTCGGAGATCTGGATGAAAATGGTGGAGAAGTGTGTATCGGGGATAACACGGAAATGAATGATTTCGATATGACGGATTATTTTGAAAAATTCAGGAATCAGGGTCTTTTGAGTGAAGACGATGAGTATGTTCCCGGAGCAAATGATTCCAACCAGATAAATGACGGTAAGTTTTAAAATAAATTTAAACTAGGGTATATGAAATAAAAATATTCCGTTTCTTATTAATTGCAGCTTCATCATCTGAAAAGTTACCAGGAGATCTTGGTTTTCAAGAAATTGTCGAACCCGAGGCAGCACGATGTAAAGGATCAAGCCGTCGGCAGATTAATAAAATTGCAAAAACAAAGGGACAAAGCTACGTCCGTACTGATGGTACAGTGGTTCCTGCAAGAGCTGTAAGGCCCGCATGCAGTTGTACGAAACTTAAATGCAAGGAAAAGTATACCACCAATGTGCGATGTCAATTGTTAAAGAACATGTTGCAACTGTCTGCTTCTGGTCAAAACCAGTTCTTGAGTAACCATATGGCATTGAGAATCACTGCTCGACCAACGGTAAAGTATTACTGCAATACTAGTTTAAATCCCAATTTCCAAAAATCTTTTTTTTTTGTAACTTTGTCCCAGGTTCTGAATTCAAGAAGACTTTTTACGCGATCGTATTATCTTCCGGCTGTAAACGGTAGAGTTCACGTTTGTAAGGAAATGTTTATGGCCACATTCGATATTACAGACAAAAAACTTCGAGTGTTGGCCAATAAACAGTTGAAAGGACTCGGAATTTCAGCTGATGATATGCGGGCTGAAAACAGCAGCCGTAGAAGCATTTCTAATGAACAACGAAATCATATAATTGACCACATTAAATCCTTTCCTGCTTATACCTCTCACTATAGCCGAGAGAAAACTTCACGCTTATATTTAAGCAGTGATTTGAACGTGATGAAGATGTACAATTTGTACAAAGCTAAATGTGCTAAGGATAACATGCATCTTGTGCACTTCAACACTTATCGATTACTATTCCGCTCTATGAAGCTGGCGTTCAGGAAACCGAAGGCAGATACTTGTTGCCTGTGCGACAAACTAGCTATCCTACTAAAGCAAGCAGAAACATGCGCCGAGAAGGAGGCGATTCAACGCACACGAGATGACAACCACGCGGTGGCTCAAACAGCTTATACGAGTAAGAAGGTCGATGTTTTGGCTGCAAAAACCAGTATTGAAGTCAGGACGGTTTCCTTCGATCTTCAGAAATGCCTGCCAACACCACATTTGCTGTGTGGCACGGCATTTTACAAACGGCAGTTGTATACCCTTAATCTGACTGTGTACACTACCTGGAATGGTGAAAATTCAGTTGAATGCTATTTGTGGGACGAATCGAAAGCGAGAAGGGGATCACAAGAGATAGCATCTTGTATCCT